CCCCCCCCCCGAGTTAGGGTTAGGTTTCCCAAGGTCGCATCACTGTCCCACATGCTACATCTTGCTAGTCTTGGAGACCCAACTGTTGCAAGTATTGGCATTGTGACCTGAGTGCACTGACCTAATGGGTCGCCCAACGGCCCTGTATCGGGTGTCTCAGTCTCTTGATGATGGGGATTCGCCCTCGGAGTTGAGCCCCTGGAATAAGGCTGCCACCAAAAGATCCCAATTGGATTGTAGTGAGGTTGCAATGCTTTGAAGATGTTGAAGAACAGGCTTTGCTCAAAGATGTTTTTGTGTTGAAGTATTGCAGGCTTTCCTGAAGGCAGACATTTTGAATGCTTTGAATGTCAATTTCGGCTCAAAGCGCGCTCATGCACTATGCAAGCCTATCAACATCTACCAGAGCAAAAACCATGTGATCATGCAATAGATTTGGTACCTGATTTCAAGCCCCAATGAGGAAAAGTCTATCTACTTTCACCAGTGAAACTCAAGGAACTGGATACCTTTATTGAGGAAAACCTATGGAAAGGATATATTCGTCCATCTAAGTCTCTCATGGCATCACCATTCTTCTTTGTCAACAAGAAGTCAGGGGATTTATGTCCATGGCAGGACTATCAGAGACTCAATGATGCTACCATCAAGAATGCTTACCTCATTCCATGTGTGGAAGGTTTGTTAGATTATGTCGCTGTTAAGGGACCCAACAACTGAGGATCAGGAGTTCAACTGGCTAACTGTTACTAGGACTTATACACGCTATAGTCCTATGCTGATACTAGAGTTACAAACTGAGCCGCTATAACTGATAGTGGTTTGAGAGTGTATACTGGTTGAAGCTAGGCTTCAGACTGAGACCAGGGATGGAATAGACAACTGAGTCTATTACTAAGGGACACTGTCCCTATGAAGTGTATGTAGGGACAAGAGGACAAAACTAAAGTACAGTAGTGCAAGTAGTGCTACTTAAATAGTGCAGAGCAAATAGAGTCTAATAAGTATGAGACACTGAGTTGGGTCAGTGATATACATG